CATCACCTGAGAAGGTTCTCTGGTCACAGTAAATTTTTTCATAAAAACCATTTCACTTAAAAAAAAAAAAACAAACAAAAAACCATTTCACTTGAACCTTGTTTTTCCTGGCCAACTTAAGGAAACAGCATGCGGCTGTGAAACTTTTGTTTTCTGCTCTGGAAAAATGCCACAGAAACTGTGGTGATGTTGAACACAGCTTACAAGGGCAATGCTAGGGGAAAAACAAGTGTACAAGGCAAAATGCTAATTGATGACAAACCTTATTCTGGATGTCCGTCAACTTCCTGAAGGGACAAAAAACGTTGTAGTGCATTTGGAGTTTGTTACCCCAGGTCAGACTGTTGAAACTATGTAGAGGTTCAAACAGGGGGTGACAAACAGACCTGATTTGTGGCCGATGGGGGACTGGTTTTGCTGCCATGACAATGCGCCTGTTCACACTGCCATCTCCATATGTCAGTTTTGGGCAAAAACCAGCATGCCTCTCTTGCCCCATGCACCTGGCTCATCTGACCTCAAACCATGTGACATTTTGTTTACATGCATGAAGAGGGACATGAAAGGACAGGGATTTGATGACATAGATGAAGGAAAAACAAAAACAAACAAGGTGGTCAGCCCTCCAAACAGATGAGTTTGAAAAATGTTTCCAAGATTGGAATTGCAGATTTGACAAATGTATTGTGTGATGGAGACTACTTTGAAGGCGATAAGGTTGTTTTATAAAAAAAACATAGCTTTAAAAAAACAACCGTTCGTGGGGTTTTTTTGGGGGGGTACCCCCTCGTATACATCTGTGGTCCCACAAGGGGGTCCCCTCTGTGTTGGTTCTGAGGGAAAGTCCTGTCTCCTTTCGATATGTGGGGCTGGCATTCCAGCTTTTCCACCTGCATTCCCTGGAGAGCCTCATGGTTGGCATCAGTCTGCCCCCGGGCTACGAGGTTCCCAGCACAGGGACTCTGGGTCAAAGGACACACCAGCTCTGGCTTTTTTCTTGGTAGTAGGGACCCTTCTTTCTCAGGTAGCTTCCCTCACCTTTGATTTCTATCTTATATGATAAAGGTGATGCAGGCTTCACCACAGGGAAACACCCCCCATACCCATCAGGGTTTTAACCTGAACTAGAGCATTGCACACCACCCTAACCACATCAGATCATGAGGGAGGACTACATATAGCATTGTAACCACCAAGCCCGAGAATCATGACCCAGGCAGCGTGATATAAATGCTCACATCACACAATATACTATGTGTACCAGTTCACATGAAATGCATTGTGGACAGCAACCAATGTGTGTCAGTTCTATCGATTCTCTTAAGCTTGTCTTCCACCTTTTACACCAAGGCATGTTGCTTTTTCTTTAACTTTTATCATGACATTTTCCTGCTTAAAATCTTCCAGTGACTCCCTATTACCCGTGTCTGTGGTTTCTGGACTGAAGTCAAAGCTCCCTGGCTCACAGGGCAAACTCACAGGAGTATTTTAGATTTGTGAGAAAATTACAGTAATATTTAACATGTCAGCGCTGTGAGTATTAGCTCAAAGTAGGTTAGTGTCAACATTACATTATGTGGTCATTCTTTCAATGTAAAACAGAAGTGATAGTTGTCTAGTCCGATTCCAAGGTTTGAGAAGTTAAGCGGCACCTAATGTTCTATTAGTAAATAATTGTATTTCTTAAAAAGTTTTAACGTATAGTTCACACTTCCTATTCTCAAGAGTTCAACCACATTCCAGCGTTACGTAACCACCACCACCAGCAACCTGAGGACATTTCTCCTTCCCTGTGTGTTAGCGCCCACGCCTGTCAACCGGCCCGACATGGCCCTAGGGAGCTACCAGTCCAGTGGCGGTCTCTACATTTACCCACGCTGGATTTCATACAGCAAGGCGCCCCGCTGGCAGATGGTTGTTTGAGGGCAAGGAATTTTAGCCTGTTGAGCCAGAGTGGAGATGCTACTTGGCTTGATGTGTGCCTCTGGGCAGCCTTGGAAAGTAACAGAGTAACAAAGATGAAGGATGAGGGGGCAGGAAGAAGACAAAATGGAGAGGAGCAGAAAAGGGTGGCCAAAGTTCGTCTGTCCGGCTTGGCCGTGGACTTCACTTGACTTAAGCCCCAGGGCCTCGGCCAGGGCAGGATTCGGCAGGCAGAGCACACTGCAGAGAGATGCACTATCCATGCTGAGGAGACAGGCAGCGAGTGACCAGAGCCCGGTGGAGTCAGGCGTCTACTGCTAACACCCCGGCGCACCCTCAGAAGACTAGCTGGAGCTCCTGGAAGATGGAGGCCAGTCAGAGAGTGGAATCAAAACATTGTGTTCAGCCTTGAACTTAACTATTAGTTCATTAGTTCAAGAGTGTCCCAGTGGGCATATTTAGGTTAAAATACTTTTTTTTAATTCCTCACTATTACATTCAGAATGTTTTAAACTTTTATTTTACAAGTAGTACCTTTAAAAAATATTTTTAAATAATAAAACAAGTGACTTCAATTTACAGCTCCAAGGCATATTGTTTCAGGTGTCATTACTGTACCTTCACCCCATTTATTAGTCAAACCATTTCAAGCTCCTTCAAGCTCGTAATTCACAGCGAGGCATAGAAGCCCGACCAGGAGGGGAGAGGGTTCTGGGAGAAGGGGGCGGACAGCAGGACTCCTCCGTGGTGTCGGTCATGGAGCACCCGTGCTCCACTGTACAAATGGGTTCCTCCTGAAAGTGGGAGTGTGATCACTCGGGGCCTCTGGCTGGGGCTGCTTTAGTCTCCCGAGGCGAATGGGGGGCTGTTCCGGGCCAGGAGCCCAGCCGTGCCTCCAGCCCCTATGAGCTGCTCTGACCAAGCTGTTGGGAAGCCCCGCTTACAGGAGGAATGGCCATTCCAGCATAAACCTGTCCTTAATCCTACGCAGACGCTCTTTTCCTTCAGGGGATGGCGAGTCCTAGGTCGTGGCCCGAAGCACACGTCCTGAGGGGCTTCCTCGGGGGGAGCCCTCGGCCCTTCATTCTGATCACATCTCTAAAAGCTGCTCCATTTCTTGAAGGGCGGTTGTAAAATCGTTCACTTTGTTGTTACATATGCTTTGCTGTTCGAGGAATCGGAGCCGTTCTTCTTCTTTTGTCTTCAGCTTTACCTTTAAGGCCTGCATGGAAAGACATTAAAACAAACACTGAAAAGCGGAACAGAACTCGACATCACACGACAAGTTTCTATTCCATTGAGGAAAACCCTGCAACACTGTTTTTGTTTACCTCTGCTGCTCTTTCGGAGAAGGACGGGCCTTCTGCTCCTGTAAATAGGGATCAGTGGCGGAAACTCGGCGCAGTCCTAGCCTGTCCAATAGGGTCGCTGAGTCAGCATCATCACTGTGATGGTGGTGAGAGAGAGATGCTGCTCTTGGGAATTGTGTCTCTATCTCTAGATTCCTAAATGTAACCCGGAGCAATAAACTCCGACATGATTTAGCAGTCTGACGGCTTGTCCAAGTCGTCCAGACCCAAGAAGCTGGGTTTCACACTACTTCTTCCTTGCACCAAATTCCCCCATCACGGACTCCACGTGAGAGTTAAGTTTTTGGGTGCCAACACGGCTCCTGTAGGACATGCGGGCGGGGTTTAGTCTGTCAATCAGGTCACAGCTTGAATGAAGGGCCACTGAGGTAAATGGCTCTTGGAGGCCGGCCTCTTGCTCTCTCTGCCTGGTGATGAGACCAGTGTGTACTGCCTGAGTTCGCTGCTCTGCCTCCACCATGTGCTGGGCTACCAGTGAGCTGTGCGGTACTCAGTCCCACCTGGCCAAGGCAACCTGTTGCGCATGTGCCGTGCTGCTCCTCGCAGACACCGCCCCACCCTGCCCTGCCTGCTGCCTTTGGGCCAACACTGCACCCTCCCGCCCGCAGTTTTGCAGCTCTATATTGGGAGGCTCCGTGGAGACCAGCTTCATCTCGCTGCGCCACTGGCTTCCCACTGACTGCTCCCTTGACCTTGAGCCAGTGGCAGCGTGAGCTAGGAAGAAAGCAGTCTATTAACTGTCCCACGAAAGTGAGCTGGACTGAGCTCTCTGTACTGCTGCGTGGACCACTTTGCTGCTGTATCCTTTCCTCTATAAACCTACTTCATCCGTATATCATCCCGAGTGTCCAGGCTTTGTTTCTCTAGAGAAGCCTGCCTAGCGCACCGTATCCAGGTCCCAGCGCTCCATTCTGAGTAAGGAATCTAGGCTGCCATACATTGCCTCATGCCCTGGAAATGCCAACAACCCTGAGAGAGAGAGTTCCCGGGACAGAAAAGGAAATTCATGGTACAAAAGGTGAATCCACATGAATTCTGGGATGTAGTGAACAATGTCTCACCAATGGTCATATCAGATGTTAATACTGGGAGAGTTGAATTCTCTGTGAGATTTTGTACACTCAAACTCCAAAATAAAAAGAAAGAGCCTTCCAGAAATCCACGCACTGCAGTAGAAAACAGGTAATTTTGCCTCAGAGTGCCGTCTGCCTATCTCTTACCTGTAACTCTTCCATCTGCTTCTTGGCTGTTTCATTAAAAAGCTGCAGCTCGTCTTGCAATGTTTCCAACAGCAACTAAAAGCAAAGCACAAGGCAATACAGTTCAAAGAACAAACCCTGATGGGAATGTGACGCTTCTGTTTGAGGCGCTTCGTGTACAATGACAGCGGAAGCCGCGGACCCCGCTGAGGGCCCTGGTGGCAGCGTGGCCCCTGCGGGGCTGCTGTCAGCACCAGGAAACCCACCAGCCGCTCTCTGGGCGAGAGAGGAAGCTGTGGTAGAGACGGGAGTCTTGGAAACCCTCAGTCGAGTTGCTATGAGCTGGAACTGACTTGTACGAGTGGCTGGTCTTTTAAGCCCCTTCAACTACTTTACTGATCACACACGCAGGCACTCACTCAGTCCATCGGAGCAGACAGACGGTGCGTGATGCTGTTCTCTGTGGGGAAGGCGATGTGAACTAAGTTCACTGACCACAGGAGGGGCAGTCAGGGAAGGCGTCCCTAGCTAGGATTCTACGATTCGAAGATGGGGATGGGATCACAGAAGGTCAAAAGGCGGAATCAAACAGAAGCCAAGAACCCAAATTTACCTCAGATTGGAGCTTTGTATCCTATAGCTCTTGGCTGAGGACTCGGGAGGGATTTGGAGAAGTGTAGCCGCGCCGGGCAGCCTAGACTCATTCCTGTCAGCCCAAAGCCAACTTCCAAGTGAAATTGGCGATTTTGAGAATCCCAACCCCTCAACTCCCTCCCTCTCTCATGGAGGACCACGGCCTGCTTCTTGCGGGCCACTGAGCTCAGAGCAGAGCCTTCGCAGACTGACCAGGCCCCTTGCCCCCCACCAGCCCACTCATTTGCCCTCACCACAGAGTCTGTGTGATCCGGACTGGATTCCTGCTGCGACCCCAGGGCCTCACTCCCTGGAAGCAAGAGAGGCAGCACAATCAGCCACGCAGGGAGAGCTCGCCTCCCACAAGCCCCGCTCCGCGCGCACAGGCAGGCACCTCCCCGGGGAGCACAGCAGCTGGCACCTGGTGCCCTTCCGGATTCTCACTGCGCCAGGGCCACCCCGGCTCCCTCTCCAGGTGTGGATATAAACAAAAATGCCTTCTACTTTTGTCTTCTCTTAGAGGAAATGCACTGTAATTTCTCCAAGGGAAATGTATACTAGACGTATTTTTAAATTACTATTAGGTAAAAGTAACACAAAACAGAAAACAAACCCACTGCCATCCAGTCAATCCCGACTCGTAGCGACAGCGGAACTGCCCACCTGGGCTCCCAAGGCTGCAAGTCTTCCCGGGAGAAGCAGCTGGCAGGTGCGTAGTTAGTAGTTCGAACTGCGAATTTTGGGGTTAGTAGTCCAACATGTAACCCACTCTTCCCCCTGGACTCCTTAAAGTATTCCATGCACAGGGTAAATTACAAGTATACAGAAGGGTGCTGCAGCCTCTATCAGTCCAGCTCACCGCGGCTCTTCCTCTTCTTCATTGGCCCTCTACTTCACCCAGCACGATGCCCTTCTCTGGGGACTGCGGTGTCCAGTAGCATGTCCACAGTACATGCTGAAGTCTCACATCATTGCTTCTAACTAAGGCTACACTTCTATATACATATACATGTGTGTGTGTGTGTGTGTGTGCGTGTGTGTCTTCTGCTTCCATAAACATCAGGATCCAAGTTAAAATGCGATTCTGGACACTAATCTCTCCCGCTGACCGTGACGCTGCCTCCTGTCCAGCCTGACGGGCTCGGCTTATGCGGGGGGGAGGGGTAGTCCACACGAAGACCGTGCTGCTTGAGCTTCCTCAGTAAGGGCTTCGGTTTTAGTGGCTCCATGTGCCACCTGCACAGGGCGGACTTGAAACGTCTTCTCCCTGCTGCCCCACTCTTCTTCATACGGGGCAGCTTCTCCGACGGCTTATCCAGCACACACGCCGAGGAAGCATGGTGAGGAGGCAATCCTGAGGTGTGCCTTCCCTGACGCGGCACCTCGCGGTGCCCCCTTGCGGGCAGCCAGCGTGGCAGAGTGAGCTATGAGTTGGGCCGAGAACCACAAGGTCACCAGTGGGAAACCACCAGCTGCTCTGCAGGAGAAAGATGAGCTTTCTCCTCCTGCAGAGCTCCCGTCTCAGAAACCCACACGGGCAGCTCCACCCTGTCTATATGGTCGCTACGAGGCTGTGTTTGTTTCTGAGTAGCCCCTTGTTCTCTTAAATGTACTTCTTATTCTAGGTACACTTTTTAGGTAAGCACAGTTAAATGTTCTGGAATTCCTACTTTTCACAACGTTATCCATAATTTATTATGACCTAGTCAAATGCATCTGCCTAGTCAATAAAGCACAAGTAAACATTTTCCTGCTCAAGGTTAACTGTATCATTCAAAGTCAACACTGCTTTATGTAAAGGGGGCTGGGTCCCCTCTCTGGCTCCTTTCTCAATTCATCTTTGCTACGGACTCTGCTCTCCAGGGGCAGGGGCAGGGGCAGGGGCAGGAGCAGATCAGGAGTTACACTTCAGCACAGGGAAGCTGATGATTAGCCCGGTTTTAGGAACCCTTGAAATGGCATCATGTCACCCTCTTCCCACCGGGGAGAGTTGGCAGGGTGCTCTGTTTGAAATGTCATACCTGCTGGACCCACATGGATGGCATTGTGTTCAGAAAAGTATAAAATCTCTCTCTCTCGAACTCCCTAGAGTTCTATTAGACAAACCCAGCAGCCCACAAGGGAGAAAGCAGCATACGAAACCTTTAGGGCTTTGATAGGCCCCTTGCCCCACGGCTCAGCTGCCTGCCCAGACGCTAGCCAGTCACCAGGCCGGAACCCTCGCAGGCAGGCACAGTGCCCAGACAACCCAGTGCCTCGGTGTCTCACCTGGGTGCATGCCCTTGCTCTCCAAAATGGCCAAACAATTGTCCTGAAACTTCTCCAGCAGCTCCACCTTCTGAGTCAGGTCTTTCAGCTCTCCCTGTTGGGGTGCCAGGCAGACAGGTCAGGCCTCCTTCCCCTTGGGGTAGTCATTGTTTCCCTGGCCCCTGGACAGCCACAGCACAAGCCTGGTTGTCCTTTATTTCTGACCTAGTGGACCCTGGACAGTAACCCATGGCTCCTCCCCAGGGGACATCCCCAAGCTACTGCGTGCATTGTCCTGGTGGCAGCTGAGGGTAGGGAGCGGGTCTGTCTCTTACCTGAGTTTCAGTCAATTTCAGGTGCAGCTGCTTGTTGACTGACTCTAAGAGCTGGTTCTTGTCCTTGAGCTCCTCTTCCGGTTTCTGCTTAATCAATGGTTTGTAGCTGTAGCGAGAATTGTAGGTTAATTGAAGGGTTAAGACCAGGGGCTATGGAGTTACACACACAGGGGTTTGAATCCTGGCTTCATCACATAGTAGCACGCAACCCTCAGGGTTGCATCACCTCCCTGAGGCAGCCTCCTCATTTCCTGAATTAGGACAACACCCATAGCTCACAGCACTATTAGGAAAAATAGATGCAACAAGGCATCTCCAATCTTTAGCAGAGCTAGTCAGGCTCGCTGAGTATTTAAGAAGTAACAACCCTGGGTGGTGGAATCAGCTCAGAGGTCGACAGCTCATCGAGACTGGCAGCCTGAATCCACCCAGAAGGGCTGCGGAACAACAGCCTGGCCACCTGCTCCCAACAGAGCACAGCTTGGAAAACCGTGGAGTAGTCCCACGCTGCACCCATGGGGTCACCATGAGTCGGAATGCCCCAAAGGCAAGTCCACTCACCCACCCCTTTGAGTCAGGAACCCACCTAGGTGCGCTTACTCTGAGGCCCCCACTGCTGCTCGTGGGCCAATTTTCCATCAACACTGGTCCTGGCAGGGTGTCCAGTAAGCTCATGTCTGGTTCTCAAGATAGAAGCATCTCTGATTCTTGCTCAGACAGCGGTTCTCAAACCTGCAGCCTCACCCACCAGAAGCTCACCCAGGTTTCCAGGAGTGATTCCAGTGTATACAATCCCAGTCCAGTAAGGACCAAGACCCACTGCCCCACAACACAGCCAGCTTCCTGTCCCCCGATGCCGACTCACCTCTTCATGGCGTTCTTCCTAGTGGCAGTGTCTGCAGCTCTCGTCTGCCTGGAGAAGCGAAATCAAGGACATGAATCAGCAAGCCCCAGAATGCGTGAGGAACTAGGCAGAACCAGAAGCCTGCGTCTCGGTTTCTCGGGTCAGACGCAGAGAAAACAGCACATACGTGGGTGCTCGGAGGTCCGTGCAGACTTGTGCTTTATCACAGACCAAGGAGACAGGCCTCCTCATCAAGAACGGACTCCACTTCCCTGACCACCCCACCCACCAACCCAGCCGACCTGCGCCTGCTCAGGAAGGCGTGGTCACGTCAGGCCAACCTCACGTACATGGGAAATGAGAGCTGTGCTGGGGACGGACGGATGGACA